GAACTGATGCCCATAACAGTAGCACTTTGATTCTGAAAGGGTCATAGCATACAACTAAGCTCAGGAGAGCCTTATGATCAAAAGAAGGAGTCAGAGCTAACATACACTGGACAAAATCTTTTTCTAGTCCCATTGAATTCGATACTAAAATTATTCCTGGCTTTAGCAGAGAAAACAATTAAATTTCTTGCCTCTTTCCAGACTTGCAAGTGCAGTTCCCAGGTGGGACAGAGAAGCATCCTAGAAGGTAACTCAGGTAGGCAGCTCTAAAATACCCAGGTAGACACAAGCTTACAGGTAAACAAAGAGTGTGCCAGGTCTACAGCTACATTGTAGGCCAGGCTTTCAGAGAGGCAGCTGAGCCTTTTTGGATAGGTCTTGCAGCACGAAACAGCTGTAGCAGTTATTTAGCTGGTAACATAGTCCTCTGGTGAAGATCTGGCATAAGAGCTCTTGAACTACTCCTTTCAAAAAAACCTGAAAATAAAATGGGACCTACTCTAAATACCTCCATGGCTTCAGGAACAGTCACTGTGGTAGAGGCCAACCTTTGATAGTGTACCCTAAGTCAGCGAATGGCTAATTTCTGTCTGCCCCAGGGGCAGGAAGATGCTGGGTCACTCAGTCCCTAACGCTTCCCAAACAGTCCTAAACGTTGCCTCAGGAGCAAAGACTTACTGCTTATCTTCTTTATGTTTTAATTTATCTTCCCTAAAGATCAACACTTCAAATCAGCAACTAATGTTCTTTGACCTCTTTATTGATCCATCTTAACACCTGTTCATCCATTTTCAAAGAGAAACTCCCTGTCTGTGCAGGAGGAAGAAAGGAAACATAGGAAGCATTTTAGAGATCTGGACACATTCCCACACTTCACCGTTAATTTGCATGCTTAGAATAAAGAATGAGTGAAGGTTTCAGTCATTCTAAGTCATGAATTCGTACGCTACCTCAAACTCTTGCTATGCAGCTTCCTTCTCCTTGATGCTGCACATCATACAAACTCCCCAGTCTTTTAGTCCAAAGCTGCTAATAACATAGTTAATTGCTCCATTTCACCAGGTGTACATGCCACAGAGCCTGTAAATTCAGCTTTTCCAAGGCCTTCATCTGTCATCCCCTGTCTTTTACCATGAACATTTTTCATGTGTTTGCAGGAATTGCCCAACCAATTGTGTAGACGAGGAAAGGATTGTTGCTGAGAACCCACAGAGCAGTAGAAGCAGAGACACTGCTAAGCCTATTGTGTCTTCCCACATTTCCAAATAGCCATGATTTCCATGGTCTTCTTGGTTTGCAACCTACAGCCAACCTGCCAGATTACTCAGTACAGGAAAACCTCTACCACAGATTCTCAGCAAATGTCAATCAATGTAATTCCATCAACTCTGGAGCAGCTACCTAAACTAACCTCAGAAATGATTCTGCCCTTTGCTTTCCCCAGAACAGAGAGCACTTGTTTTTCATCAGTATTTCTGTCAGTACCAAGTGTCACAAGTACCAAGTACCAAGTCTCATGCTACGTTATTCTGTGGTCGTTTGTTCCCGGTTTGGATTAGGACTGGCTGGCAGGTGTTCATTCTGGCAAAGGTCATCAGCTTTGTTGTTACACTAGACTTGTAGGATTTCAGGTGAAATCAGACCTGGTTCCAGGTACTTTTAATATATCCAATTGATAGCAAATGAACAGTGCTAATACAGTTCATATAATACAGGCACATGCTATGGGGAGCTAGTTTGCTGGGAAAGACCATTTAATAAAGGAACACTGAACCAGGCAGGATTCAAAAGATTTCCATCCATTTCTTCAGCTCAGCCAAACATTTATTATGTGAGTAGGGACAAGTCATCTTATGTGCCCTATGTAAATGAGCATATTAAGTCGCTTGGTAGAAGATTTTGAGAAGAAAATCTCCTACTGACTGTGAGGCTCAGACACTGGCAATGAAAGCCACTCTCTAAATAGGTAATGTTAGACCTTTAAAGATCTGTGTTCTTCCTTAAGATCTGTGCAGAAGAGGTACAGAAATTTCACCTTCTGCCCTAACACGCAACAACTGAAGGAACCTTCAAACTCTCCAAAGCTTCCACTTAGGTGGGACTCAGCAGCAAGGAAATCTTCTTGCCTTTTTAACACAAAGCTTCATGATACTCCTTTTGTTAGTTACTAACTAGTTTGCCTTAAAACTTCCTTTAAAGCCCAGATCTGCTCTTATTTACAACCATTTATTACTATTTTAAACAGTATTTATCTTTTATTATGTTTTTAGCAGGTACTCAAGCCACCTCAGGCTATTTTGCTTTCTAAATGAATACCACTGGTTTACTGTTTTTACCTTTCTATGAACCACAGCATGTTTGTTTTCAGCATCAGCTTCATGTGCGAGTTGCTGCATTCAACAGTGTTTTCTCCCTTTTCTGCTGTCGCATGCAGGGTGGCCGTTCTGTCTGGCCAAAGTAAACACAGCAAAGCCAAGGCTGCCAGCTAAGCAATCTGTGTTTTGCTTGGCATTGCTGGAGCAAGTGGTGATGCGGCAGGCAGTATGTGTATTATCTACATATTAAGAGTATCCTTCAGGGTCAAAAGCTGGCCATTGGAAAGCAAGGATGAGAAAGAATGCACAAAAGTTATACCAAAGTCAAATACTTTCTAAAAGTGCATCAGCTTTAATAGGAAATGGCAGCTCCAGGCACCACACATCTTTTTATATCACTGTCAAAGGTAAATGCACAGGAATGTACAGTACATGATTAACATGGGGAGTAACCAGATCTGCCAAGATATTTGTGCACCTTGCCAAATAACTGCCAGTCAGGTTAGGTGGCACAGACACTGACTCTGGCTTTGGCATCTCTGAACAGTAAACATTTGCCCTGCTAATAAATGGTAAACCACAATCCCATTTTGCTTTCCCACCATATGGTCAGGAACAGCTACGTAAGCCCTTGAAAGGAAGACTCACTCTTCTCTTTTCTTCCTCCTTCTTCTCTAGTATCGCTCTTGGATTTTAGAGAAATAAGTTCACGTTCTCTTTCCTATCAAGCTAGTAGTATGCTCCTCTGCTACCAGTCATCAGCGATATTCTGTGCACTGGAGTGCATGACCTGTTTTAATGAGCTTTGGCAGACCATCAGATTCATTTCTCCTCCCCCATCTAATTATAGTATGCCATTTGTGCCATTCTGGTTCAGGATCTATCAGGAGATCTATTCAAAACACCTACTTCTAGGGATTTTTAAATAAGCAATAACAACGTGCTTAAAAATGACTGAAGAGGGCATGCAGCTGCAATATTTTTGCATGCTTTTTAGGCTATTTATCCACTTGGTTTGAGATGTTTTTGAGGTCTTATAGACTACATAAAGAGCAAAATTTCCTGCAATTAACACAGACTGTAAACGAATTCCTCTTGGTACTTCAATATGTTTCACAAACTCTCGTAAAACAATTCAATGACAAAACAATTTGCAAAGTTTCACCCATGGTTCAAAGCCCTCAGCCTGCAAGGACTAACGCACATATTTTACTTTCTGTAATTTAACAGACTTGTTTACATCTAAAGGATGACTGATGTGCTTACAGTCAAGCCTGCTGCAAGTCTTCAGTAGACCAAGATCTGAAGAAAGAGGCTGAGGCCACTTTTGGCCTGTAAATACTGATAAATTACTTTAAAACAAAACATTTGAAAATTAATTTTTCTTTTACTCACCCAACCTTGGATTTCTCAGGACTCAGATCTTGACAGAGAGATAAAGAATATAGAAAGAGTTTTGTACACGGCCTAGCCAGGACATAAATTACTACAGTGCAGTGTATGCTATTCTGATGATTAGGGACAGAACATAGTCATCCTTGCCCAATCTTTCTGAACCAAACAGGAATTTTGCTTGAGTAAAATCCACACGAGCTAAAAACATGGTGCTCAAGTTACTTTTGAATTTTCTTAAATTTTGTGGATTGAAATACATACCCCCTTCATAACACAAATAAATTTGGGAGTGAAAAAAAGGGTATTCTGATTTTGTGAGCTGTTAGTCATTCTTCAGTAATTGCAGACTGTGATCCAGGACAAATTCAAAACATCATCCTTCCTGCTTATAGAGCTGGCTCCTAAAGAAGTTTTCTAGGGTTATAAAGCCATCAGCTTAGACACTAAGCAGATTTTACAATATTTATTATCTGCTAAGTAGGATTGAATTAGGGTCTGCTCAAGAGATTTGGAAAATAAAGGTATCTTGAGAGTTATCTCTCCTTAATGCAGGAGCCAGTCCTCTCTTTTGCTCACTCTTGTAGTAGGATGGCTATTCAACCTTCCTGTAAATTACAGTTCCAACTCCACCTAGTGACTAAGCAATCAGCTGCTGTGTCTTCTTATTAGCTCCTCTCCTTGGCAATTCTGCAATCTGAACCCCAGTCTGGGGGCTCCTAGCAAGCCCCAGAAAGGAAACCCAGCTGTGTGAGATGATGTCCAGCGTGGCTCCTTAGAAGCCAGTCACTGGGTGATCTACAGAGTTCAAGACCTGTAGATCTGGAAAGCACAGGTCAAAGATAGCTGAGAGGGTGGATAGAAAAGCATCCCTGCCCAGTTAACTCCTTCACCCAGTTTCATGACTCAGCTAAATGTTTTCACAAGTAAAGCTGTTCTGCCTGGGATCACAGAATCACAGAATCGTTTAGGTTGGAAGGGACCTCTGGAGATCATCTAGTCCAACCTCTCTGCTCAAGCAGGGTCACCTAGAGCATATTGCCCAGGATCACATCCAGACGGGTTTGGAATATCTCCAGCGAAGGAGACTCCACTACCTCTCTGGGCAACCTGTTCCAATGCTCTGTCACCCTCAGAGTGAAGAATTTTTTTCTCAGGTTCAGATGGAACTTCCTGTGGTTCAGTTTCTGCCCATTGCCTCTTGTCCTGTTGCTGGGCACCACGGAGAAGAGGCTGGCCTCATCCTCTTGACACTCCCCCTTCAGATACTTGTACACGTTGATGAGATCCCCTCTCAATCTTCTCTTCTCCAGGCTGAACAGGCCCAGCTTCTCCTTCTATTATGTTGAACAACTTCAGTCTTGAGAATACTAAAAAAGATAATAGGTCAAATGAATGGCTAAGGCAGAGTGATGGCAAAAAGGCTCCATTAAGGCTAGTGGAGCAGCAAGACTGCAACAGGAAAAGGGAACACCTTAAACTTACAGGTACAGGTTTCCCCTGTGACTGTACTGAAACAAGCCACACGGATGTTACATGGCTCCACACTCCATGATTTATACGCACAGTCTGAGGGTTTGAAAGTTTCCACGGAAAATGGCTGTGCATCCCTTTACCCTTACCTACACAGGCTCCGTGCATCACTGGATAAGAAATCATTTTCATTTAAAAATAATAGGAACCCATAGGCTCTAAGTTTAGTCTGAAATGGTTTGGAATTTGCAATATACTAAGAATCAGTCTTCATCTACAGGCACATGAGATTTCAGTCATATATATATGTAAATATAACTATATATATGTGTGTACATGTATGTATGTATATATATGTATATATTTACGACTGTCCAGATAAAACACACAAGGGCTAGACGCAATTCTCTCCACCCTCTAACGCCCGGCTTGATTAGGTGGCCTAAATGTCACCGCAATGCAAAACCTCCTTTCTATTTTCTTTCAAATGTTACCTCCTTTGTATTCCACCAAGAGGACACAAGACAGGCCATAGTTTCTCTCTTTCTACATATGGAATTATTAAATGCAGCAAAGATGATACTGAAGAAAGAGGTGCTTTATAGGAGGTCCCAAATGAATAGCATTTTTTATTTTTGCAAGTCCACTTCACTCTTCACTCTGTACAGCTGTTACATTTTCCATTCTCAGCTTTGTTCTCTGAATACTGGATGTCACAGCTTAGGAGCTGACTTTGTCAGCCTTTGCCCAGTATCTCTCCCTCTCATCTACATAGCTCTCTCTGGCTGCATTATCTGTGACATGTTTCTCAAGAGCTAGTTTAAAAGGGGACAATGCAGGACTACAGTCTTTGCTTCCCTTACCCAAAAGACACAGATATGGTACTATCTGTCCTCTTCGCCAGGCTTTCTTTGCTTTTAAAACCAAAAATGTAATACAGTTTATAGTTTTTTCCTTGCATGCCTATTTACATTTCTACAGCTTAAGAACTTCCATAAATCAAAAGGTTCAAGGGGCTTTTTAAAGGCTGACAAGATCAAACTGTGTCTGCTCCCCTAAACTGAAGGCTGAAACAGTTGTAAAATCCCAATTTCCAGAAGCGTGTGGAGCTTGCAGACAATGGTATAATGGTAAACACAAATGTGTTTCAAACCACGTGGTGAGAAGTGGGTAGAAAGCTCTATTATTAAATTCTAAATTAGAAGGAGAGAAGCTCCATTTACCTGCATCTACTCTGCATCAGCGCCTGATGACATGTACCTCTGCAGCTTACTGTTTCGCCTTTCTTGTTGCCTGTCTTTTCATGAATCCCTAGGGCAAGTAAAAACTTTACTCTCTAAACCACTCTGACATGAACTTCTATATCTACAGTCCCAGTTCCGGGTTTTAGTAGCTGGGACTGCTATCTCCCTTTTTCTGCAGAACTGACTGACACTGTTTTATTAAAGGGACCGCAAGTGCTAAGAGAGTGATGTTTTAAAACGCAAGTTGGGGATGAGAGTCAGGATTTGTTGCTTTTGTCAATTTTTCACTTTTCAATTTCATTACAGTTATCAGTAAAGCAAACTGCTGCTTACTGTAGGGATAGAAGTTAGACTGCAGTGGTCACATCCAATTAGAAATTATTGCTGTACATCCAATTAGAAATTATTGCTGAACCTAAATGGTATTTAACCTAATTCCATCTTCATGTATTTCAATATCAATAACCAGTAATATAAAGTAATATAAAGTAACAGTAATATAAAATAGCTTGCGACCTATTGGATATGTCATTGCTTTGTGACCATTGATTAGGTCTCCTCTAGACCTGGGATCTGCCACAAAACTTTATGACTTTAAACATGACATTTACCTGGCACTCAATTTCCTATTTAGGAAGCAAAACAGTGGCCTCATAGGAATAGATAAAGTTAATGGCTGTGAGCCACTCCACTGCTGTTGAGAAGTGGCCACAAAAGAATTCAGGTAAAATTCACAATACCAATGAAGTAATCCAGGCAGGATGATAGTAACCATGTTCATATATGCTTCAGCTGGCCAAACACTTCTGGATGACTCCATCTAATTTCTGTTCACTCAAGAAACAGTGTGTGGGAAACGCAAAGGTAAGTTCACAGTTTTTCTGTTTGGTAGCTAGCTGAGGACTATTTCTTCATGCTGCTTTAACTTGAATCCTATTACCTATGTTAACAAAATAGTGACAGCTAAAATGAGCTGCAGGGTGCTTTTGGAATATATCTCTCCTGACCTTCTCTTTACGCACTTAATATTTCCTAGGGCTTGGTTATAGTTCCTGAATATACATAGAAGGCTATATAGGGCTTGAATATACTTCCTTTGTATTTGCAAGGTGGCAGAAATAATTAAAAACTGGCCTCATGGAATTTAACACCGAATCTGAAAATTAAATTATACAAAAGATAATTTCATGAATCATAAAAGTAAAGATTCCAGACAAAGCACGTTCATCATGGATCTAACTTTCACCTCTACAATTTTTCATACTACTAACTGATTTTAAATTATAGAGATGCTCTCTGGTAGTGCCCATTAGCCCCTTGGTGCATGCTAAAGAATGAGCTCCCCCAGCAGGTGGTACTGGAGTTCAAGTATGCTTTCTGACAGAAAAATGGAAGAAACCTTTGGAATCCTGAAAGGCATCAGAATATAGTATCATTCTGCTGATAAAGAAAAGCAAATGCCAAGCAGATAGCGTAGCTTCCCAAATATCTGCTGAAAGACTGAACGACAGAGAGGATGTTCTGGAAATGGAGAGAATTAAATATAAATGCACAGAGCCGGACAAAGAAGAGACAAACCAAAAGTGCACTGAAATAATTTTAGGCAAAAAGATAACAGGGAAAAAAAGAACTTTTACAAAGAAATCAAGAAGAAAAGATAGATACGCTAATGAGAAATTAGGGCAGGTAACAAATGATCTCAAGGATTAACTTACTAGTGATTCAAAAAATGACCGAGGTGCCTACACTTTTTTTTTTCCTTGTTTTTTTAATCTGGCCTGTAAAAAGAGAAATAAAAAAAGGTGGTGCGGACAGTGAAGTAGCAAGAAAGCTATCACCTGTTCGTGCTTGGCTCAGGAGCCCAAAGCTTTTACCACCCTTCCCTCGGGCAGACTCATCTGGAGGCAGGCAGGTTTTCCCCAAAACTCTGCCTTTGCTTCAAGGAGAGTATGTTGAGCCCCGAAAGAGTTTCAATGAACCGGTGTTAGCAATGAAACTTGGTTTTGTCGTGTTTCTACAACGAGCTCCATTAACAGTCACAAGATGGGTCCTGAGCCTGGCTGGGCATAAAAGGAGCAGTTTGTACCAAATCAGACACATCTGACAGTTCTGTTTGATTTAATTCTGGGAGGTGGAAACAGGGCACTGTGAACAGAGAAATATGAAACTCTGGAGCTGGAGCCAGCCTTAGGAAGAGCTATCCTTGCTCTGAGACAGCCTGATTTCCTTTTCTCAAAACGTTCTTGGGAAAGATTGCACAACTTCCGCAGGTAGCCTGCTCAGATCCTTACACTTGTCCTTATAAATCAAAAAGTTTTTCCTAACATCCGTAAAATCCTACATATTTAAAACAGCCCAATTTCTTCCTTTTTAATTTAAGTAGATACAGGGAAATGCCCCTTATCACTGTCCTCTTCATTACAAACTTTTTCACAGATGATGACTATGACACTCAGCCACCTTCTGTAGATCTAACAGACAATTCCATCAGCCTTTCATTTCTAAATCTATTGTTCTTGCTGGTATTCTTTTGGCTTTCTCAGAATGGTCCACGTGTTTAAGTGTGAGGTTGAAAATTGAGTACAGTGGTCCCGGAGAGCCTTAGTGGTACTAAAAATCATGGCATAATGAGACCTCACTTCACTTCCACACTTCAGAATGGCTTTTTTTTTTTTTTAAATACAGCATCACATTTGTGTGTAGGTGACTCCTGTTTGGTTTATGACCAGACAATTATCTGCAGTGACTTTGCATAGCTAATCACTTCACATTGTGTTGGTGTTTCCATCTAGAGATACATCTCTACTGGATGTTACCCTACTGATTTCAGAATATTTTTTCCAATTTATCATCAGCATGTTCAAGTCTAATGTCCCCCTCCAGATGATTTGCAGTCCCTCCCAATCTTTCGGTCTCATCTACAAATTTTTTTTTACCATGTTTTTCACCGTATCAATCAATAGTGGAAATGCTTCTACTACTGGACATAGAAAAGATCCTTGTGGGACTCCACTTGTTACGTCTTCACGGTCTGATATACCAATAAGCTTAAGCAAAACATCCCTCACAAAATCTTATGAAAAATATGTTCAAATTGTCTTGGATATGAGCACTGTCTTAGCAACAGGACCATAAACAAAAATCACCATGAACAAGAGGCTAGCATGCTTTATCTAAAACAGTAACAATTTAAAGGAAGTAGAAAATATCAAATATTTCATAAATCAGCATATTGTTTGACAATAAATTCAGCACTTTTGAATTCTAATAAAAACAGAGAAATCACACAAGACCTCTTAGACATAAGAAATAAGAGTAAGCATAACAGGAATTAGATTCTTCCTTGAAAAATCAAAGTCATGCTTTGTTACGCTTCGAAGCACCTGCTGCCCAATAGGAAGGACATACTGGGAATTCCAAAGAGACAGCCAAGCACAGCAAATTAAAGCATCTCGTGAAGAGCTGAAGCAGCCAAAAGAAAACTGTGACTCGAGGTTGCAGAAATGTATCATAGCCCAAGGAGATGAAAATCTTTCTCCTTATGGCTTTGGTGAGACTGTACCAAGAATTCTATACATAGCTTTTGGCCCTGTAACACTGGGCAGATGTCTGAACTAAATGAAATACAAAAAAAACCCTGAAAGATCATGCGT